GACAAACACTTTGAGTGAGTAGAAATACTTTGTTTGAATATAAAATATATTTTGCATTGTATAAATTCACTTTTCCACATCCTAAATGTATTTGTTAAATGTAAACATTGTTTGTAAATCCCAGGCCCTGAAGATGATCTCAATAAAAGATCGAAACGTTGGCACGATAAAGAAAATATTTTTCTGAAACCTACATCACACCCGACCGCATCTCACGATATCTGAATAACTATCGATTAACGGTCACTAATCTCTACACAATTATAATTTTTATCATTTTCTTTATTTTAAATTCAAATTAAACAGTTTTCTGCTTAATGCCAAGATAAACAGTCATAAATATTTATGAAAAACATTTTCATTTAAAAAAATTGGTTTTTACCATTTTAAATTTTTAAGTTTTAGATAAATTTTTACAAAAAATATAAATTGAACAAATTCACCAGAATTTTCAGTTGTATTAGTGGTACTTATTTTATGTTGTTTTATTTAACTTTGTAAAGGAATCAATAATTTTTTTTATACAAAGCCTCTATATTTGCGACTTTTTTGCAGACTTACTCTGTTTAACGGACAAAACATAATTTCAGAAAGATAGAAGTTTAAAAACAAAATGGTTTGTCAGTTCATCAAGCCTCCCTCTGCAAGTTTAATAAATTCATAAATTTTATTTAATTATTTTTATATCCTGTTTTAACGTCGGCTCAAATGAGTCCTGGCGATGAAGTCTACTCATGAATCCAAAAACCACTGCGAAATCTTACGCTTTTTACCTTATGTAAAAAATTTCGTTTGAAACCACCCTGTATATTATATTCATATTATTTATTTATTATTAAAAACACAATATGTCCATCATCGAAACAAACTTTTTTTAAAGTGTGTGAATAGAAAAAAAATATTCTGTACAAATCTGTAGATATCATGTAGTAGTGTCATCTAAAATTCATATTTTAACCAAACAAATTATATTTCTCTTTTTATTAAAAAAGCCTACGTTATTTTGGAAAATATCTACGAATTTTAAATTCGAGTACAATATTTAAAGATACCCAGCGGGTCCGAACTGACTTGACACAGCAGAGCAGGTGATAAGCACATGCAGTTAAAAAATATGCTAGAATTTTGATACAGCAAAACAATGGTGATAGAAGTTACGTCGTTTGCTTGTCCTTGTAGTTTTTGGGCTTGTCGGGTGTATTTCGAGTTATCATTGTCTTCATTTTTTAATAATAATTTTGACTGAAGTCCATCACTTACATCAAGCCGAAACGTGTCTGGCAGATTAAAACAACAATGACTGCAAGAGCAATATGTTTGGAAAGAACAGAATTTCCAACAGCGTGCTGTCCACACAATTTTTCGTTGAATTTGGGAAACGCCAAACTCATGAGTTTCATTTCAACCAATCGCATGAGGGATTATTATACAAATTATAATTATTTTTATCCCAGGCCATTATCTGATTATGCAATCACACCTTAAGCAGAGTTTTTTCGCAATAAACCAGGGTACGGACTTGTCAGATGGATGAAGTGCTTGAGGTATGCCACAAGGGCCGATACTAGCTCCGCTGTAATACGCAATTTTTAATTCTGATATATTCACAAATGAGAATGCACTTACTGCCACATAGTTAGATAACACCGCCATACAAACAAGTCATCCCTCTCCTACATAAGCTTCACTTATGTTACAAAACCACATATCAACAATTGAAAAATGGAGCAATCTTTTGAAAATAAAGTTTAACCCCTCAAAGCCACAACGTACCAACTGTACATTTCGCCGAGAGACTTGTACCAGCATATACTTATACAATGAACTTTTTCCTCAATGCGAGGCAAATTAACTGTTTAGGACTTGCATTTGGTAGAAGGCAACTTGGAATCCAATCACACACAC